CTACTGCTTCCTTCATTTTCGTCAGGGGCACAAGCGGAATGAGGCAGACAAGACAGACAAAACACAGCGGTCAGGCCGAAGAGGTCTCCTCTGGCCGCGCCTTTGCTCTCTGCCCTCCCCCTCGCTGCGGCCCCTTTGGGGGTTTCACGCCGACTGCGGGGGGTGGGGTGTCTCTGCCTCACCCCTTCTCCCTTCACGACCACTCACCTACTGATCCAGGGGCCCTTACAACAAACGCTTATTAAGCAACAAACACATTCATTGGAAGGACTGATGCTGAAACTGAAGCTGCAGTACTCTGGCCACCTGATGAGAAAAGAGACCCTGCTACTGGGAAAGATTGAAGGCAGGAGGAGAAGGGGACGACAGAGGATGAGATGGCTGGATGGCATCACCGACTTGATGGACATGAGTTTGAGTAAACTCTGGGAGTTTGTAATGGACAGGACTGGAGTGCTGCAGTCCATGGGTTGCAAAGAGTCAGACATGACTGAGAGACTGAACTGATAGAGTCAAACAGCTGTTTGACTGGCATTTATGGCTGAGGATTATTTGTAGCATTAATAGATGATAATTAAAGTAGTTGTTGTTTGTTCATTCTCATTACTCTGTATATTTCTGTAGTAATGTTCTACAATTTATTCTTTTATAGATTATATTTTTGTTAGTTTATTTTTATTTACAATGAGTATTACTTTCTCTTGAATGGCAAAGTGATTCAATTATACATATATATATATATTATTTTGTATATTCTTTTCCTTTATGATTTATCACAATATATTGAAATAGTTCCCTCTGCTTTAGAGTAGGACCTTGTTATTTATCCTTTTAACATAATAATTTGCAAATTCTATTATAGATTCTATTTTTAGTGAGACTTTTAATTTCTCATCCATTCATAGACTCTCTTTTAACATGCTTTTTAGTGTCTATATGAGTATATTACTATGCAGTAATATGTAACTAGAAATGAAGTCACTGGGTTTCATAAAATGAGTTTAAAAATTATGCTTTTTCTCTTCTAATCTATTTTCTGAACATATTTGGGTAATATTAATATTTTATAGTAATCATTCATGAATGAAGCCATCTGGTCCTGGAATTTTTTCCATGGAAAGACTTTTAGTGATGGATTTGGTTTATGTAATACTTTTATAATACAATATGTTTCCTAATGCATAACATACATAGATAAAAGCACACATTTTCTAAGCACATGAGGGTAAAAATCAATAAGGACATGTAAAAAGTTTGAGTTTGACTCTAAATTGAATAGTATATTTCTGTTAAGACGTTTGCTTGGATAAGTCCAATGATTTCCTGGGTATTCTCATTTTACCTTGGAGGTGGTTACTTGGCTTTCAGGGCTATGTTGTGTTAGAGAGTATATGTATAGTGACTATGGCACCTACTACAGAGTAGTTGTTATTATTATTAACGTTCTCTGTCATAGGCACAGATGACACCTGGTGGTTATCATCTTTAGCTAAAATGAAAATAATTCTTTATGAAATCACAGAATAGCTAATATTTTAAATAATTTTAGAGTCAATATTTTTAGCAATGATAATTCATCTTGACCTTCTGCATTATTTACTCCTTTTACCTTCCCCATAAGAAAGATAAACTGAGACTTTCATGACAACAGGCTCTTGAAGGAGCAGTTCCTTGAAGGGAGGAAGGTAGAGCTTGAACAGAAACTTTGGAATTTCTAAGAACAAGTATTTTCATACTAAAGACTTTTGCAATTTCTAAAAAACATGACATATTTAAAACAGAGAAATGTTTGTTTTATCATTTTGTGATGAAAATTAATTCCAGAAGAACCAGAACCATATAAAAGAGGAGATAGTACGTACAGAATTAGGTAGTTATAGTTGTGAGAACATAAGTACATTTACAAAACACACACACACACACACACAAACACACACACACATTTGGAGAAAGAGCAGAATAAATGATGTGAACACAGAAATCAAAAACAAGTTGTCTCTTGCTGAGAGTTAATTCTTAGGTAGGTTGATAAGGAGTCTGGGGCCTTCAAGGAGAAAGGGGTCCAGGACCTTCGAGAGAAAGAAAGGGGTCTGGGGTTCTTGAGGAGGACAAAAGGACAAATGTTTGTTTTTTACATTCCTTTGTCTTTGTCACATAAGACATTTTTTCTTTAAACCCAGAGCTAATGATTATACAACAAAACAACTCATCTTGCTCAAGGGTATGTTTTTCCTTAAGCTCTGTACTCATGATTATATGACAACAGTGTATCCTGCTTGAGGGCATTTCTCCTTCTCAACAAGAACCTTGCACCCTAGAGCTGCTGCTCCACAACAAGAGAAGCCACTGCAATGAGAAGCCCACACACCACAACTAGAGAGTAGCCCCGCTCACTGCATCTAGAGAAGAGCCCATGCAGCAGTGAAGACCCAGCATGGCCAAAATTAATTAATTAAATTATTTAAATAAACAAAAATAAAACTATTTCCTTTTAAAAAAGAGAAATAATACTTGACAAGAGTAAAGTGCTTTTTTCCTCAGAAAACTGAATATATATATATATATACATATATATATATATATGTATATATATAAACAAGTGGGAGAAATATAACACAGTATAAAATTATACATTTAGTTTCTTTCTTAGATTGAGAGAGAGATTTCTTCTCTTCTGCTGAAAAAGAATCAAACTAAATTGAAGAGAATTCAACTCCCACTAGTTTAGATTTCAGTCTCTTATCCATTTCAGTGGATCAGTTACAACTTACGATTTCTGAATTCTTCATTTAAAAGAAAATGAAGCATCCTTACTCATCTAATGAAAATCCAAGAAGACATATGTAGCATCGTAAATTTTAATGGGAAATCATTGTAATCATAAATGGTAACCATCTTGGCTGATTCTTAAAATAGATGCATACATTTGAATGCCCTTTAAAAATATATTGTGCTTTTACTCCAACAGTTTCCCCTCTGTGCTGAGTCCCGCCAGTGACAACCAGATCCACACAAGCTCCTATTCACTTCAAGCCAAGGCAACTGGGCATGTCTGAGCTTGGTCCCTGTTTCAGCCACAGCTGTTTCATGCCCCCAGGACCACTGTGGTCATGCAAGGACCCTCTCTTCACTCAGCAGACACAAATAGTCAGGGGAGCTCTCCTTATGGTAGATCTTTGGCTGATGGACGACAGGGGACTTGGGTAAATGTTTTCTCCTTCTTTCCTTCAGGAAAAAAAATTCAGATACGTTTCACAAAGGTCCTTAGAAGGAAGATAGTACAGTCATCTTGAAGGTGAACAACTTGATTGTGCATTTTGTTTTGTTTTGTTTTGTCTGGTTTTGTTTTTCTTTATGTAATGGCAAAGTTTATTTCATTTTTAATAACAGAGGACAAACTGTTTAAAATTTGCAGTTTAAAACATACACATTCACAAAAGGCCAATGACACATAATGCTGCATAGAACTGAATATTACTCGACTTTAATAACTCTAAAATGCAGTGTATTAGACATCAAGATATACACACCTGAGAAAACTACTATAATCACAGACTCAATACTCTTCATTCAGGCAACTTCTGCATTTTTATGTGACTTTTTCTCCTTCACAGGTTATTTTCAGTCCCTCAAAGCTACTTGTTGGGAGCACATTCCTAAATGAACTCCTATCACAGCTTTGATTAAGCTCTACTTTTAGAAAAGGTAGAACTCAACAGCTTCCCTTTGGTGGGGATCTTACAAGACTACTTGCAGGCTGCCTGGTCAAACTTTCTTCACCAGTTCCTTGAATCACTTCAGTAAATGTTCTAGAGTTTGTCCACTTTTCAGGTCTAGTTTACAGCCCATCAAGGTTTCTGCTTAGATTTGTTACTGTATTCTTTATCTTCAGTTCAGTTCAGTTCAGTTCAGTCACTCAGTTGTGTCTGACTCTTTGAAACCCCGTGAACTGCAGCACACCAGGCCTCCCTGTCCATCACCAACTCCCAGAGCCTACCCAAACTCATGTCCATTGAGTCAGTGATGCCATCCAACCATCTCATCCTCTGTCATCCCCTTCTCCTCTCTTCAATCTTTCCCAGCATCAGGGTCTTTTCCAATGAGTNAGAGCAGCACTGTCTCCCCCTACCTCCCGTACTGACTCTGACTGCATGATGAGTACCAGGCCAGCTCTGCTTGCTTAATGATATCCCTGCTGGAGGCAAACCATTGCCTATTTTGTTCAAAAGAAAAGCAAGAACAAGACTGAAATATATTCTTCACTTTCCTTTCTTTGAAGTCTATTTTATTTTCTCTTCCCCCATCTTGTATCCACAGTTTTGAAAGCGTTATCAAGTTCGCTGTGATTGGGGAATGACGGGCGAATTAACTGAGAGATGAGGTGTTGAGGAAAGGAATACAACTTTATTTGAAAACCCTGCTGGCCAAAAAGATGGCAGACTAATGTCTCAAAATAACCTTTTTATGGGGTCTGGATACCAAGTTCTTTTATAGAACAGTTATGGGGGAGTGAGGAGGCAAAGTAGAAAACTCATTAAACTTGCAAATATCTCCTGGAATGGCAAACCTTGGGGAGGGGATGTGCTAATTTCTTCCTTCCTGTAGACATCCACAGGTGGAGAGGGTCCTAAACAAAGGCATTTTAGCATAACAGTTAGACAGAGAGGCAGGATTCTCCATCAGGCCATTATGCATGATTATAATAACAAAAACAGTAAAAAGCAAGTCAAAGAAACAGTTCCAATATGGAATCAAAATTGGCTGTTCCCTGCAACAATATAATGTTTAAAATGTGGTTAAAATAGCTGTGTTTAGTTTGAATGTCTAACTTTCTGTGTCGCTTCTTAAGACCCAGTCAAATCTGTTCTTTAAAACCCAAAGCCTCAAGATTTTGCCAGACAAAATTAAATATATAACACATATGTAATAATTGCAACTTGTAAAATTCTTTTGCATATGTAATTTTATTTGACTCCCTCAACATCAAAAGTGGAAGAAGATAGTACAGGCAATAACATCTCTATTTTACAAATAAAGACACTGAAATTCAGAGAATAGAATTGCATACGGCCACAGTCATCAGGGTGGTAGTAAATATTGAAGCCAGGCTGTGAACTCACATCTTCTGACTCCCTGGTCAAATGCTATTTCCACATTCAAAACAGATGACTCTTCAGCTGGTGCCATCTGATGCTATAATGGAGAACATAATCCAAACTCACTTCTTCCTCCAAGAAAACACAACAAGAATAAAATTCATCAGTCACCTTCCTCCTGAAGGAAGGGAACGTGAGACAGAAATGTGCTGTTTTGTGAACAATGCTGTCATCTTTGTTGATGGTTAAAGGCAGCATTTTAAAATAATCAGAAGTCAGTATCCTCTTTCCAAAAGGTTTGTTTATTGGTGAGTTTTCATGCTATCCTGGAGGTACAACAGATGCCTGGAGTGTCTGTAATGAACTTCACATACATCAGTGTGCTTTGTAATTAGAATCGTCTGCAGGTTCTCACAGAAGATTTTTGTTCCCTCTTTTTTCTTGATACATTTCACTTTCATGATGAAACCTTTAATAGTGGCACCCCTACCTGGAGCAGGGTTATCAGCACTCAGTGTTTGACAAGACAGGACCATCAATTATAATGTGTGATAAAAAAGGAAAATTAATGTCATTTTCAGAAACATGGGAAGACTTGGAGATTATCATGTCTGATGTAAACCAGACAGAGAAAAACAAATACCATATGATATCATTTATATTTGGAATCTAGAAACATGATGCAAATAAACTTATTTACAAAATAGAAACAGACTCACAGACATAGAAAACAAATTTATGATTACCAAAGAGGAGGGATAAATTAGGAATTTGGGGTTAATATATACACACTACTATATGTAAAAGAGATAATCAACAAAGACCTACTGAATATCATAGGGAACTATACTCAATATCTTGTAAAAACCAGTATATATATATATATATGAATATATATAACTAGACCATTTTGGTATATACCTGAAAATAACACACCATTATAAATCCACTACATTTCAATAAAAAACAAAAATATCATCTATATAACAGTTACACAGAGCCCCACTCCCCCTGCCTGGGAGATTGGGAATGTACTTCAGAGAATACCAAACATTCTCACTGGCCTGGAATGCACACATGCATAGATGAATTAGTTTCCATGATATCACTGAATAATGTGCCTTCAAAGATGAGTGAAATCAAAGTGATTTTTTTTTAAATCAAGAATTTAGCTTCAGATACACCTAGAAGAATATTGCAAATGGAATTCCTAAAGTAACCATGAAGAAATCCAAGATACATTCTTTTAGTTTCTAAAAATCTGAATGTAATTTTAACAATTTTTGGTTTCTGGTAAGTTTGACTTCATAGGTGGCAAACTTAAAGCTATCTTTAATTTATACACTTTAGTTATCCATATCTCAACAGTTTCAGGTCTACTGACTTATTCTTCAAAATGCCTCAAACCTTTGTTATTCTTACCACTTTCATACATAGCATTCTAATTTATCCCTGATAGCTGGCTAGAATAATGTCATGAGGAATATAAACATTTGAGAAAGAAAGCCTGAACTAGTCTCGGAGGCTGTATTAAAAAAAAAAAAAATAGTAAGAAAAACTGCCAGTGGAAAGAATAAAATGTTATACAAAATGTAGTTTTAGAAGATTCATTTTTATGGCATTAACTATATTTGAGAAACACAAGAAAGTGAAATTTTAGAACTCATTGGTTTTCAAAACAAGTCATACTCACCAATTTTATTACTCTTCTCTGGTAGATAGCTTTCACCAGTTCCGATCTTCTGTAGTTCTTTGAGTCATCTGTTTCCAAATGATGGAGCAAAGGGTGGAACCATTGGATGCTGTGGTCATCACACATTGCTGCACCATTTTTGTTGCATAATTTCTGAGATCTTATGTCAATATATCAGGTATTCTTAAGTTCTAGGATGTTGCTCTGTACATCTGGCAGGTGACAAAGAGATGAGCCTATTGCTGGACTATATATCAACAGAACTGGCTACAAAATTTGTGGGACCCAGTGCCAATTGAAAGTGCAGGCTCCTTTGCTCAAAAAGTGTAAGGATTTCACAACAATGACACCAGAGCAGTAAGCCAAGCACACAGTTTTTTGTACAGGTCACAAGCCCTTGAGGAGGCTGGCCTTTGTATCAGATCTGATAAGAATGAATTGGCCTCTCCAGATGCAGAAGGTATCAACTCAAAAAAAAAGATGCAAAATTTAAAATTTAAATTTAAAAGCTGAGAATTATGTTTTATTCAGAGGACAAAACTGAGGACTTAGTCTGGACTGTGGCTTCTCAGACAGCTCTGAGAGACAGCTCTGAAGAGGGAAAGGAGGGCCCGGGATATACAAGCATTTTTGCAGCAAAGGCCAAGCAGTCAGAACTTCAAAAGATTACTGTTAATTAAAGAAAGCCAGATATCCCAAGCTAAGAAATTTAGCACTTTTCTATGTATGTGAAGATGCAAAGTCTGGGCTCTCTGATGTCATCCCTTTGATAGGCACCTGGGCTGTCTAGTGCCAGCATCCTGTCCTTCTCCGTCCTAATTGAAAGTGCAGGCTCCTTTGCTCAAAAAGTGTAAGGATTTCACAACAATGACACCAGAGCAGTAAGCCAAGCACACAGTTTTTTGTACAGGTCACAAGCCCTTGAGGAGGCTGGCCTTTGTATCAGATCTGATAAGAATGAATTGGCCTCTCCAGATGCAGAAGGTATCAACTCAAAAAAAAAAAAAAAAAAGATGCACAATTTAAAATTTAAATTTAAAAGCTGAGAATTATGTTTTATTCAGAGGACAAAACTGAAGACTTAGTCTGGACTGTGGCTTCTCAGACAGCTCTGAGAGACAGCTCTGAAGAGGGAAAGGAGGACCCAGGATATACAAGCATTTTTGCAGCAAAGGCCAAGCAGTCAGAACTTCAAAAGGTTACTGTTAATTAAAGAAAACCAGATATCCCAAGCTAAGAAATTTAGCACTTTTCTATGTATGTGAAGATGCAAAGTCTGGGCTCTCTGATGTCATCCCTTTGATAGGCACCTGGGCTGTCTAGTGCCAGCATCCTGTCCTTCTCCGTCCGGACACCTCTCAGGGAGCACAGCTGGGAACCGCTGCAGTGGCTGAGGGCTTGGTGGCAGGCAACCAACTAGTCTCCACCCTGAGGTCCCTTGAGGCTCCCCATGAGGGCAGCTGTAGTGGCTGGAAGGCTGCAACATCCTTTGTTTACTGATATGGCAGGCAGTGATTTTTTGGCTGACAAAGTGTCTAATATAATAAACTCACTTTCAAAGGTGAACTGGAATCCTTGAGCCGGCACCACTTTGAAGGTTCTGAGTTGGTCTTTGATACTGGCAGGGCAGGGCATCAGCAGAAGCAAGAGCTGCATCGACCTTGGAGAGGAAGACCATGCTACTGGGCCCATAGTCTCCATTATAGCTTCATGGACACCAGGTTCATGATCTCATCAAGCACCAGGGGGCCCACGAGGCAGGCTGATGGCAAGCTGGTTGGTGACTTCTTCAGCAACGGATACTCTCTGATGGGCACTAATATGAGACTCAAAGTTCTGCCCTCTTTATAGGTCCAGCCACAGGCCTGCTCCCCTAGATGTTCTTATCTTTGTCTTCCATTAATGCTCATTTGTGACATAATAAATGTTTGTTTTTTAATCCAACAAGTTTGGGGGTAATTTGTTATGTAGAAATAGATAATTGATACAAAGAGTAAAGAGATTTCCTTATTAATATTGTAATACAGAAGAACAAATCTGACTCCATATTGGACCTGTTTCTTTTACTTTAACCCTTGTATTCTGTTGCTTCTGCTACAAGTTAAACACACAAAGATGTTGCCTACAGCTCAAAGTACACATAATGGCCCATCTCTGGGAAACCTGCCTTCCAAGCCTGAGTGTTAAGCCAAAATACCTTTACTCAGCTCACAGGAAATATCCTGACCAGGCCCACCTGTGAACAACCTCAGGAAAGAAGAAATTAACATGTCCTCTCCAGAGTCTGGCTGGAACCAGGAAATAGTTTCAATTCATCAACATTTTTTTTTTTTTTTTTACTTTATTTTACCACCTTAACTCCACCTGGTCTGTTTGTTCTATAAAATAAACTAGCACCCAAACCCAAGGAGGATGGTTTCTTGGAACACTGGTCTGCCGACTTCTTTGTCTGCTGGCTTTCCAAATAAAATCACTGTTTCTTGCCTCAGCCACTGACCTGTCACATGGTAAACAGTACGAGCTTGAACTCAGTAACAAAATCGTTCCCCCTTACCTCTCCTATGACCCAACACAGACCAGCATGTCTATTGGAACAGTGACTGGCAGCAGAAGAAACAAACAAAAAACCTGCCCTCATGGAGGAAGATATAAATTATAATTAGGCAAAGTGTTTCTTTACTACATTTTTATTGAGATACAATTGACAACTATATTAGTTTCAGGTTTATAACATAATGATAATACAATATAATGAAAATGATCACTATAGCAAATCTAACAAACATCCATCACTGTACATAATTACATTATTTTCTTGTGATGAGAACTTTGAAGATCTACTGCCTTAGCAATTTTTAAATATTTTATATAGTATTATTGAGTATAGTCATTATGTTATATATTACATCCTGAGGACTTATTTTATAATAGAATTTTGTGTCTTTTGACACGATTGTGTTAATATTCCCATGTTTGTATTTTTCAAGAATTCAATGACTTAACCCCAATAATAGGAAGATTAAACACTGTGATGGAGTTAGGAAACATACTGTATGGATGGGAGACCATTCTAATCAAATAATATCACTTGAGTTGATAGCATTATTACCTTGTGAGTTGTATGGGGTCAATGGAATAAACAGCTCCAAAAGCACCACAATTACTGTGTAAATCCAATACTGACACTACGAGATTTTATATCTTTCAAGATCCTTATATATTATGTTTCCCAACTTTATTTTATAGTGCGGATAGGAAATAAAATATGATAAAGCACTAAGCACAGTCTCTGGCACATACAGTACATCAGTACATATTAGAAGACTTGGAATCTGAAAAACATGAAACTGAAAGTAATGAAGTTAATTGACAGAACTCACAAAGCTAGATAATGAAAAATCTGAAAGAAGAATCTGCATCTTTAAAACTTCTGCTGCGTGATTCTTTCTGCTTCATCATGTTGCATTTCTTTAGCCCAAAGCTATTACTTCCTCCCTGACTGCCCCATATATTACAGGATAGCCCTGATTTGTTTACTAATACTCTTAATTTTTTGAATATTAAATGACTTCCACATTGAGAAAAATGATTCCTTTCAAAAATTATAGTTCATTATATAGCTTTTATATTTATCTTTAACCTAGTAAAATGCTTTTGAAAAGTTTCAAGAAAAAAATAAACAAACCAGAAATACAGAACTTAAACTTCTTAATAAAGAAAACATCAAGTGTTACCCTATGAATTTGTTCTTGCTGCAAATAAATTTTGCATAATCATAAGCTCAAAGGTTTTACATTAACTTGATATTTGAGATCAGTTCAATCAATAGATCAAATATCTTTTTATCTATATGTCATGGTGTATAAGCAAGAGTTAAAGAAAATAGGAAGAGGAAAAATAAGAGATAATGGAAAGAAAAGTAATTTCTCTCAAGATAATTTAAAAAATTTGAATTAAATGAAAATGAAATCACTACTTATCAAAATTTGCTGGATGCAGCAAAAACTTTACTTGGAATTTCATAACAATAAATGCATATGTCAGAAAATAAGAAAGTTACTTAAAAAAACAAAAACACTGAGTTTTCACTTTAGGAAGCTAGAGTAATAAGGAGAACTTACCCCTGAATAAACAGAAGAGAATTTTAAAATAGAACAGAAATCAATGAAATTAAAAACAGGAATGTGTTAATCACTGAGTTGTGTCCTACTCTTTGTGACCTCATAGACTGTAACTTGGAGAAGGAAATGGCAACCCACTCCAGTGTTCTTGCCTGGAGAATCCCAGGGACAGGGGAGCCTGGTGGGCTGCCGTCTATGGGGTCTATAGACTGTAACTTGGAGAAGGAAATGGCAACCCACTCCAGTGTTCTTGCCTGGAGAATCCCAGGGACAGGGGAGCCTGGTGGGCTGCCATCTGTGGGGTCACACAGAGTCAGACACGACTGAAGTGACTCAGCAGCAGCAGTAGCATCAGACTGTAACTAGGCTACTCTGTCTGTGGAATTCTCCAGGCAAGAATACTGGAGTGGATAGTCATTCCCTTCTCCAGAGGATCTTCCTGACCCAGGGACAGGGGAGCCTGGTGGGCTGCCGTCTATGGGGTCGCACAGAGTCGGACACGACTGAAGTGACTTAGCAGCAGCAGCAGCAGCAGACTGTAACTAGGCTACTCTGTGTATGGAATTCTCCAGGCAAGAATACTGGAGTGGATAGTCATTCCCTTCTCCAGAGGATCTTCCTGACCCAGGGATCGAAGCCCAGTCTCCCACATTGCAAGTGGATTCTTTATCATCTGAGCCACCAGGGAAGCACTCCCCCTGCCCCAAAAGGCAATAGTAAAGATTTTTAAAAATCAAAAGCTAATTATCTGAGAAGATCAATAAATTTGGCAAAGCTCTAGCCAGATCGATTGAAAGAAAGAAAAAAAGATACAAATTACCAGTATCAGAAATGAAAAAGTATCACCACTGACTCTATGAACATTGAAAGGAAAATAAAACACTATGAACACCTCTATTATCACAAATTTGCTAACTTAGATGACTTGAATCTATTCTATAGAGCTCACACAAGGAGAATGAGCTCTATAGCTATTCAAAATATTGAAGAAATAGTTCTTAAGTCTTCCAAAAAAGAAAACAGTTCTAGATGTTTTTCACTGGTGAATTCTACCAGACATTTAAGACATGATACACATTCTTACTGTTTCTTCCAGAAAACAGAATGAAGGAACACCTCACAGCTGCTTGTAAGAGGCCAGCATTGCCTAATGTTAAAATTATATAAAGGCATTCCATAAAAAGAAAACTACAGACCAATATCACTCATGAACATAGACATAAAAGTCTTTCATAAAATTCCTTTGTTAAGTTTCTGCTTAGTGTGAACCCCAGGTAGATCCTCCTGATGTTTTGTAGGATAGTTGGCTTCCTTTTTGTTGAATATATTAGCTCTGCTGCTCTGCCAACTTACCTCAATGGCAAGAAGCAGCAGCTAGATGAGATGTGTGGGTTTTATTTGTGACAAACGGCCTCAGCTTCTGCAGGATATCTTTGTCGTCAAAGACAGGGCAATGGGAAGGTAGGCAAGTTTCAGCCTATTCTTGTGGGTTTATGCTCATGCTAGTGGGATTCTAGCCTGCTCTTGATCTCTCCCTCCTGACTTCCTATGCAGTAAAGTTCAAATTTCAGCTCAGTCATGCTGAGACAATCCTGCAGGAACTATTTAACTAGTGTCCTCAACGCTGCAAGTCAGGTATGTTGTAGGTATACATTATACATATAAAATATCCTATTGGTTCTACTTTTCTGATGGACTTCCTTTGAACCATGAAGTGATCCAGCATGGCTAGATAAAAGGGTGACTTGGAAGAAATGGCATTTGTTAGGAATAAGAGATTGGTGAGATTCAGATGATGAATGGACTGGTGTGCTGTGCTACAGATTAGACTTCTTCTGACAGAAAACAGGAAGTCACTGAACATGAAAGTGATGTTTCTATCAGTAAGGCCCATTATCTATTTGGTTATTATTACACTATAGGAAATTGTCAATATATCTTCACCAAGTTTGGGGGGGCTACAGTGAGGATGGCTTATGAAAATGTAGATTTTAACCCATCCTTAAAACTATGAAATGGAAGCCCTTTGGAGGGCTTCCCGATTAGAATGGTTTAAAACTTAGTTATGACAAAAGCCTTGTTGTAGTCTAATAGGAGGAGATATGGCATATATATCAGGAAGATTTGAAAATTTGCTTCAAATATAAGCCCTAAATTGAAAATCATAAAGACATAGTACTTTAGCAATAGTCTAGGCCTTGATCTTCCAACACCTGGTCCTTGAAGCCAGGTTCAATGTAGGATGTTAAAAATAAGATCATCAAATACCATGAATCAAATGAAGAAGGGAGGTATGACGATGCTCCTATCAGGAAACATTCAGAAGTAAAGGGCATATACATAAAGAAGAATTTTTTGTTGCTGTTAAGTCAGTAAGTCAGGTCCAACTCTTTTGTGACCCTGTGGGCTGTAGTCTGTGAGGCTCCTCTTTCCATGGGATTTCACAGGCAAGAATACTAGAGTGGGTTGCCATTTCCTTCTCTAGGGAATCTTCCAGATCCAGGGATCAAACTCAAGTCTCCTGCATTGTAGGCAGTTGCTTTATCACTAAGCCACCAGGGAAGACCAAAGAGGCATTAGCTGAGACCAGAATATGGAGTGGAAAGAAAACACTAAAATCATTTTTTAAATTTATATTAAAAAAAGAACAACCAGCACCAATGGATAGAGTGATACTGTCCCACCCACTGTATATTGACTTGAACCAAAGTGTAATCACCCAAATGTCATTATGCTAACATTCTTTGTCAATAATACCCTTGGCAAGCTTGCAGATGACACGCTAACAGTAGAAGCAGGAAACCGAAAGTCTCAGGTTGATATCACAAATGATCACTCAGCAACTCCAAATGATTTGTGTGTG